AATCAAAAGCCTATCCAAAGTCGTGGTATCTTTGTGCAAAAATAAAATTTCATCCAGCTCATTCGTGCGTTTGTGGCCACTGATTCTCTGTCAACTTTAAATGGCTTCCTATGACTGCTTACTGAAAAGCGCATTCAGAAATTTTCCCCTCAAGTTCATTAACAAGTAATCGCAATGGGTCCTCGTAAAATTAAGGATTAATATCACTTGTGTTTTCAGAAGCTGCTGAAATTGCCCTCGTCGCTTCGCGAAAATTAATCCTTAATTTTACTCGGCCCCATGCGATTACCTATACATATCACTCGTTTTCCCGCCCTTTACTTGATTTTCCGCTGGGGACCGCGGGCGCCGGTGTACTTTTTTTCCTCGGGCGGCCATCTTATTTTTGTGACGTTTTCGCTTTGACAATAAATATGTTATTAGACGTTCTTTTGTGTAGTATCGCTGAGTATTTTTACAAGTAAAGATACTCAGCGATACGACACCCCGAAACGTCGAATAAGTTATTTATTATCCAACACGCTAAATCGTTACTTCAATGCGGGCGAATTTGGCGGATATTTATTTACGGGTAGTGCGTGACAGAAGTATACGAAGCGGAACGGAATTGGCGCGTTGTCGTGTTGCTGTTTCTATTTTCTTTAATAAACGATAAAATTTCACTGTCGTCCAACTGCTTCTTCGTTCCATTTATCTAATACACTTGGATCAACATTCATTATCCAGTCCGACTCTTCGTCGTCAGAAAAATGATTTTAATTGTCCGCCATTTTTTTTGGAACTTCAATCCAATTCGTCGCTTGCGCGATGCGAGAAAACCTGGCCAACCGTTCCCTGGATTACAAAATACCGCGTGATATTTGTACTCGTCTTAGGCGTTAATTTGTTTTACTCTACGGAGTGTAGTTGGATAATAAATCACTTTAGATAACGATTTTTTCCTGCTTATTCAACTGTTCTGCTATCGAGAACACTCCATACCGTTCTCTTGAGCGTTAGAAAAAAGGCGAAGAGGAAAATTAAATGCAAGAACAGAAAACCTGCCATTGCACAACTTGTCCATCACATAAAACAATCTCAACTGAGATTATTCCCTGTCTTAAAGCAGTATAAAACTGTATGCGGCTTCAACTACAATCCCACAGTCGTACATACCCTATCATACACTCTGTTCAGCACTCGAGGTACAGAGACGAAAATTGTTGGCCTGAAAGCGAATGAAATTAAACCAACCGCATATCAGAAATGTTATCGAAACCAACACTGGGAAGTGTAGAAACGTCGGATCTATGAATTGTAATTCTTCAGTTGCATTAATTAAATCCTTAAACCAGAATAGCATCAAACCATGTTTGATTGTCCACCTGGTTGCTTTGTGAACTTTAATACATCTCCAGATGACTTATAAACGTCCACTCAAGTGAGTAAGTCTACTAGGTCGCACTTCGGTTCTCGTAAGAGGCCCTGTTTACAATCGCAAATTAGCCATGCAACGTGGATCTAAGTGTGCATTGGCCACCGTTTGACCGCTGTCTTGTTTGGTACTGAGGCTGCAAGTAAAAGGTTACATAGAAATCAGTTCCGCGAGTCACAAGATTATCTTTTGACTTACTTGAGAGCTTGCAGATCCTCCAGAATGTTTCTCGCATTGCCACCATAGAAACCAACTTTTCCGCCATATGTGAATAGCATCAGCTAGAAAAATGAAGACAGAAAACCAAATTAAAAAACAGTAAGGAAAGAAAAATAATAACAAAGCTTTCAAATACGGAAGCGAATCCTAAGCAACTAACACGACGTCGAACGCGTCGCTTGAACGACAAACCCTCGACGCGTCATCCGACAAACCACAGACAGTTCAGCCGACAAGCGCGTTACCGACACGTTCGCCGACACAAACAAAAAGTTTAAAAAATACGGTAAGCGTGATTAACGAAGGCAGCCGCGTGGACCAACATTCGACTAACAAGATAAAAAAACCCCACAAATTTACAAAAATACAGCCAGCGTTGTTGGTAGAGACCAGCGGTCGCCTGAAGCGTTTGTCGACGCGTTCACGTCACCGGCGCGTCAACCAACATGTTGACTGCATCGCATTTGTAAGCATTCCCGTCCGCAACAGGCTACGGTGGTTTTTCTACATACATCAGCGTCTAGTTGCTCACTAAATAAAACTATTTGTTTCAGAGACGACCCACCTGAGCTAGTCTCTCGTACATGTGCGCCAACGGAAGGTAAGAAATGTGAACATCCTCACTTGACACTATAATTCCACACTAAGAAATTTGGTAGAGTAAGTTAGAGAAAAGTTGGGAAAAGCACACAAGAATTTGAAAAGATAGACGTTGTTTTTCAATCCGTGGCAAAGGTATCCTCAGCAGAAACAATTGTAATAAAAGGGGTAAATTTCAAAAGGAATTGCGGCGCTGCGTCGGTAGGGGGTATTATAAGAATTTGGTTTCATCAAATGAGTTGATCATGTAAATTAGCCACTGCAAAAAGTTTTCAAATCTGAAGTTTCGAGCGTAAGCTGCCACGCCTTTCGAAGAAAGGCTGACGCTACAAATTGTCAACTTTGAAACTCTTAACGGTGGCAAATTAACATTATCAACTCAGAAACGACGGTAACTGTCTTTACGCAATCCTCTTTCTGCTCTTCTTCGGGAAAAAACGCTACAGAATGTCAGCATAGAAACTCTTCTACGGTAGCCAATTTCACCACCAATCCAGAAACAACAATAACTGTCGTCACGCAATCCTTTCTCTTCCCCCTTTTCCAGAGAGGGCGCGAGGAAATTTTCATGTCACGCAACGCGTGACATTGCACGACAAAACAGACCGTTTAGTTTAGTTTAGTTTAGTTTATTGAGATTTGCCACTGAAAAATACAATTTACAAGTAAATACATGAACAGAGACAAGCAATAAATAAACAAAAATATAATGGCAGGAGAAAAATACAGGGCGAGCCCCAATTGACATTTGTCCCCTTACAAAATACAAAGCATAGAAAAGTATAGGTTACATATGCACTTAAGTACTTTGTCTAAAGAATAAAATAATTTACCGACCGACTGCGACACTTAGTTACGGCGGAGTATAAAGCGTGAGCTTTTCTGTATAAAACCGCTTAACGAAGGCTTTAAAGTTATGTAAAGAGCTCGCTTGCTTAATGCTGCTCGGTAAATCGTTCCATAATTTAATTGTGCGAGGAAAGAAAGAGTTTGTAAAATACCGCTGAGTATGAGTAAATATACTCAAATATTCGTAGAGTATGAGTAAATATACTCAAATATTCGCACAAAACTTTTAACTTCATTAAAAATAAAAGGAAAAAGAGCTTCACAAACAAAGTTAACAAGTAATGCAAGACTATAACTGTTATATCCGGGTATCCATGGATATTGCAGGCTTGGCTGCTAAGCTTAAGGACGTTTTAGATACGTTGGATCTGACAACTTTCGGGTGTAAACTCTTCTTGTGTATTTGAGTCTGTTCCGTTACAGTTAAAGACTTTGCGACACTACAATACCATACCTTTTCAATGATATCGACGAGCCCAGACAGCATTGCAATCGCATTTTTATGCGTGATCATGGCTCCTTTAGGATTGCCTAATCAAAGACACATTCATACGCACATGTTATTCAGTCTTGCAACAACAACAACAAAAAAAAAACACTTAAGGCATGATAGTTCTAAGTACCAAAAGCATGAAAAAATAACCAGTACCAGGCATCCAGTTCACCTTACACTAAGCCCATCTAACTTTTTTTAATGTCCTTCACCTGTATTGAACGATCGCGTTGAGTGGGACCACTCAACTAAAACTAAAAAATGATCTATCAAGGAATTCTAATTCTTTTTTTTCCCAAAAAAATCTAAGTAAGAGGTACATTCGAGCGAGATTCTTTACATGAAGTGGTCCATTATGACATAAAGTGGCGTTGTTTATCGTTTTTTTATAATACCCCTAAAATATTGAACCTGTATTTAGCGGTCAACTTGTATTAAGCGCCCATTCCCTGTTGGTGACCGCTTAATACAGGATTAACCGTTTTCCACTCCGTTTCACTCTATCATTGAACGCCTGAAGTAGCTAGAAATGAATAGTCTTACAAGTAAGTATTTCCGCTGACCTGTTGTACCACTTGTATAGCAGACAACGGCGAGATCGTCTGGCTTTGGGGGCTATCGGAGAAAAATAAAAAAATATGATTTATTACTCTCCACGGAATTAATTAAAGACATTTTATGGGGCTAAGCAAATCATAGAAATATGCAATTCAAAGAAAACGTAACAATTTGAAAAACAAAAAACAAAACAATTGTTTGGGGGCCAACCAGTTGGCTGATTGTAAGAGCGGCTTTGGATTCGAACGAGCACTGATGATTAAGAAGGAAGCCGCCTAAAATTCAGCGTTAATCCAAAGTTTCAGCACAAGAAACTCGAAACCGTTGGAGAGACGCTCTACTGAGATGTCACCCCTGTCCATTGCCCCTTGGCCCACCTTCATCTATCACCCATTTCTGTTTTCACAGACAGTATACTTCGTCGCTGATAGAGCAGTTTTCAATTGACGGTCGAAAAACTAAAACCGAAGTTATTCCACCGGCCAATCATGACAAAAGTTTGCGTCTTCGTTGACCAATGAGAACTCAAATTAAAACCAGGCAAACCACCAAAAGCGCGGGAAAACGCGGGCGACCAAATCACGATTGCTTTTCGTTTAGCATCTGATGACAGAGCTGAATAATGAAATGCTACGTCAGAGGGTATGCGGTCAACAACGCGAGCTCGAGTGTCCTAGGCCAAAAATTTAGCGAAATTAGTGGAAAATAATAAGGGCTGACTTTTAAAACCGAGGAACTCTGTTTCCGTCGAAGGCTTTTCCTATTTCCAGAGGTTTTAAGGAAAACTAATTAAGAAAGAAAATTAATTTTTGAAAATTTTTAGGGGGTGTACCAAGTTTTTGGAGGTTGTTCTGTAAAAGAAAAGCGGCAAGGAAAACGACGCCTCGAAGCCACAGAATAGGAAAACAACCATGCGAACGACTGAAAATCCGTGTTTCCGCGGCAAAACCTAGCGCACGCGTATACGTTATTCAGCTCTGTCGCATCTGATTGGTTTTGAGCACGGTGCAAGTTTTTTTTGGATTAATTAACAATTGGTTCATGCTTTAGCGTGCACTATCGAGTTATGGAGCACGCGGGAAGTTTGGAGAGCACGAAAGAAGCGTAAGAGTTGCCCGAGGCGATAGCCGAGGGCAACTCTAGCTTCTTGAGTGCTCTCCAAACTTCCCACGTGCTCCATAACTCGATAGTGCACAGCTGAAAGCATGAACCAATTGTTTTAGAACATAGCCGGTGGAATTGTGCATCAAAT